GAGGGTGCGCGTCGCCGGGGGTGTCCTGCAAGGCGGTGTCCCGCGCGGGGATGTACCCGGCAGGATCTGCGTGGCAGTGACCCGCCCCGGGATGTCCCGCACGGTGGCGTCCCGTGCAGGGAGGTCCTGCGCTGCCATGCCCCGCACAGCCACGTCCCACGCAGTGACGGCCCGTCCAGCAGTGACCCACTGTCCTGGTTTCAGCTGGGATGTAGTTAACTGTCTTCCCAGTAGCTGGTACGGTGCTGTGTTTTGAGTTCAGTATGTGAAGAATGTTGATAACACTGATGTTTTCAGTTGTTGCTCAGTAGTGTTTAGACTACAGTCAAGGATTTTTCAGCTTCTCATGCCCAGCCAGGGCACCTGGCCCAAACTGGCCAACAGTGTATTCCATACCATGGGACGTCCCATCTAGTTTAGGAACTGGGAAGGGGGGGCAGGGATTCGCTGCTCAGGGACTGGCTGGGTGTGGGTCGGCGGGTGGTGAGCAATTGCCCTGCGCATCATTTGTACATTTCAATCCTTTTATTACTACTGTTTTCATTTTATTAGTGTTATCATTATCATTATTAGTTTCTTCTTTTCTGTTCTATTAAACCGTTCTTATCTCAACCCAGGAGTTTAACTTCTTTTCCTGATTTTCTCCCCCATCCCACTGGATGGGGGGGAAGTGAGTGAGCGGCTGCGTGGTGCTTAGTTGCTGGCTGGGGTTAAACCACGACACCCACACAGCCGTGTCCCACACAGTAGTGTCCCTCACTGCAGGGACCCACACAGTGGTGGCCTGCGCGCTGTCCCCCCCAGCGGTGTCTCCTACAGCGATGGCCCTCACAGCAACATCCCACGCGGTGATGACCCTCACAGCAACGTCCCACAGAGCAGTGTCCCACGCTCCAGTGACCCTCCACAGCAATGTCCCACACAGTGATGTCCCTCCCACACGACAAAGCCCTGCGCGGCAGTGTCACAGCAGTGGTAAGCCACGGAAAAATGTCCTGCACGGCAGTGTCACACAGCCACGGCCTGCACAGCAGTGGCCCTCACAGGGCTGATCTGCACGGCGGTGTCCCCCCAGCGGTGCCCTGCACAACAGTGACCCACACAGCTGTGAACTGCACAGCCGTACCCTGTACAGCAGTGACTCACGTAGCAGTGACCCACAGAGCTGTCCCGGAGTGTCCCCGTCCACCTCCACACAGCCCGGCAGGTGGGGACGACCTGGGGCCACCGGACGTGGTTTATTGGTTCAGGCGCTTTCTCATTTCAGGGCACATCCCACACAGCCAGGAGCGTTTGCTTGTGTTATGTTTTTCATTTTCTTTCTTCTTTTTTTTTTTTTTTTTTTTAAAGCTCTGTTTCCAGGACAAACAAAAGAAGCCGTATTTGCAGGTGCACAAGGAAAGCATGATGGATCCCCAAGTAACTTCCTAAAACACAAAGATTTGGATTCTGGTTTTCAGTTATCTCCAGTCCTAAGAGGTTTTCGGGATTAACGGACCTGATTATTTTAGCCAAAAATCAAATCCCAAAAGTAAGTGGTGAGGTGACTGCAAAAATATGTTAGCTTTGCACACTTCAGTTTGCAGATACTAAGGCAAGAGACATCTGGTCTTACAAAGCTGCCTACAGATGGGAGGTAACAGTCTACTATATTATCTGCTACATGTGGGTACTTGGACCCCCTGAGATAGCTCGGGCCAGCCAGAGTTTAATTTCTTTTAGCCATCACAACGTTGCTGTTAACATGTTGTTTAAATCCCAGAGGACTGGGTCTGCGCTGTTATCCAATGTGCCACTAATGAACTCACTGGCATGTTGCCAGCCTAAAACTTGAACCCGTGAATAGCGAACATTGGGGGAGTTCCTGTGGTGGGTGAGAGGAGAACAAGACTTGCAGCCTGCCTTGGTAAAAGGCAGTGTGAGAGAAGGAATGCCTCTTTATGTTTTCCTTTCCTTTATTGGATTCCTGTGGTTCACCTGAAAGGCAAAATATTAGCAAATCAATGTAGAAACTACATTTATAAGTGGGTAAATCATGTGCGGATGACTTACGCTAAAGGGATAAGTCAGTAAAACTTGAATGAGTTTGGAACAGATTAAAGAGAGGTTTTGTCTTAGTGGATATGTTTACAGAAAAACAAGAAACTATGTCTGCAATGGTCTAGTAAAAGAAAACAGAATTCAAATGAAAAATGTTAAAATTTCTACTAGATGCAGTAAAGCAGATTCTTCAGAGCAACCAGAAAAAAGAATCTTAATTAAACGAGAGAAGAAGCTCACCCAGTTTTTTCCAGGAAATACTTTGGTTTTTCCCTTTTAGTTTAGTTCCTCACTATTAGGAGTAGCACTAGGTAACTTGTGAGTAAGAAGGACAGAGAAACACAGCAATGTGTCCTTGGGCAATGAAGCAGCATTGAAACCCTTACAGGCAGTTCCAGCAAAATAGGCAGAGATTTCTTTCTAGTTTGACATGAGATGGTCCACAGAAAGTAGCTGTTGCTCATGCCCTGCTTTTGGTTATCTTTTTGTCATGTAGATAACTTTGCAAGGAAAAGCAGTTTTGGGCAAGGCTGATAAAAAAAAGGCATGTGTAGGTAAGCTTAGGGAATGGGCAGAGCCCTTGGTCTCTCTTCCTCACAAGCCACGGAGGAGCATTGCACGGAACAGAGGTCATCAGTCATCTGTTCCGCATGTGCCCTAGGTGCCGAAATACTTCTTCTTAATCCCAGAGGTGAGGAGAAATCTCAGGACTGTATGGTAGTCCTTCCAAAAGCAGGTGTTGCTGCTGGCTCTGAGATTTTGAAAACCATGGTCTAGCTCAAGTTGCCAGCCATTTTTGTGCTTTTCTGCCATTTCTGTTCTATTTTAGTTTTGGGTACTCAAAACTCAAATTCCCAAACTAAAACATAACTGCAGTATTATAAGGTAAGAAGGGAAAAGAAACCAAGACTGTGAAACATGTTTTTCAACTAATTTCTTGAATGAGTAAATGGTTCCAATAGTCTTGTTCCTTTGTTTTCTTATTTCCAACCAAAGTGTCCCCACTGCCTTACATGGAGTTCTCCTTGGTTTATAATACCACAAAGACAACACAGAGCCAAGAGAAAGAGAAAGCCAAAGAGAACTAGCCTGTATTATTTACCGTGCTTACCAACTCTATTATTCACCATGGTTATTTATGCTCCCTCTGTATAAAGCATGTAAAGCAGAGCCAAACTCTTACTCTCTGTCCATTCCTACGGTACACGTCTACCCATAATATTAGGCAGAAGACTGAAAACACCTGCAAATGGGAAAAGCTTCAGGCTGGAAGCAAAATACATGTTTGATAGTAAAATACCTCTCTTTTATTTTTCAAGTTTAACTTACATCCACAGTGACTTTGAGGACCTGATATAAGGACCATTCAGCTCAACTTCAAAGTCTTTTTCAAATACATTATCTGTCAGCCTGCAGCATTCCACATGCCCACACCTCCTCACGAGCAAACTCTCTGGAAGGTCCTAACTTGCACAAATAGAGATCATTTTTCTTTGCTGCTAGGAGGTTAATGCAACGGCAACAAAATGAGAAGACTTCAAAGATCCTGCAGGGCATTTCTTTTTCTTTTAGACCCGTGTTTGCACACAGCTCTATTTATTTTACAGAAATATCCTTCTGAAAGCAACCTGCTTACATTTTGTATTGAGACAACACCGTGACTGATGTGACTACAAAGGCTACAGGCTGTCTCCATCCTGCTACGCAGTTATCAGGCTTGCCGGGAGCACCACAGTCAGCTACAACTTGAGTTTGCCGTAAGGGGCCCTTGTTCCCCTTGTTCTGAAAAAGTAGACTTTCTCCTGATAAGAAATAATCCCTACTAAGGTGAATAACCACACCATGGTGTTTGCTAGTGTAGCTGACAGCTTAAAGCAACAGCAACATTTTGTATGTAAGAAAAATTAGGAGTAATTTGTCTTCACTAACAATCAGCCTGTAGAAGAACACAGTAGATGATACATAAAAGAAGGTTTCTATAGTTTCATAGCCCATGCTGCTACACAGAAAGCACAGTGCTGTTTCAATGACTAGCTGGAGCTGTTCTATATCGAATTGTTCATAAGAGAGCATGCGGAGTATGTGGCTATATTTGAGAGAGGTCATTTGCTGTGCAAACAGCCTTCTCCTTCTACCCGCTTTGCCCTGGCAGTCCTGTCGGTGCAGCCCTGCCGTGGGAGACACAATGGTTTGCTGCGTCTCAATTACAACCATTGATTTTGGTCGGGGTTGGTAACGATGCCTGAAATTGCTTGAATTCTAGAGGTTAGTGGGAATATAGCAGAGCTATCTATCAGGATATTTTTAGCTGATTTTTAAAGGCCTTCACCCTCCCTGTAAGTTACTGAAGAAATGTCCAAGTACTCAGATGAACACAGAGCTGCTGTCGAGCTTCCATGCAGAAAAGGTCAGGCAAATTTGTATGCCCAACCTAAGTGCATCAGGGCTGGAAAACATCCTTTTCCTGTTTTTTTCCGTGAGTTTCTCTTTTTACAGGTGCAGGGAGCTGAACTGAAATGAAGCACCTGAGCCAACATGAGGAAGGGGAGGTAGCCCAAGGCAGGACGGGCAGAGGGCAGCAGCACTGCCTCCACCAGCAGCAATTAACGATGAGACGGGCTCAGCTAGTGCACATGGTAGAACATCCCCCTTATTCCGTCAGGCTACAACTACATATTCTGTCTGAATAAACAGCCCATGGCTTATGGAATAATAGTATCGCAGTCATAAGTACATTTTCTCATGTTAGTTCTTATTTTATCTTAATTCTAAATGCTATTATAATCTAGAAGCATCATCATGATGTCATTCCAATTTTCATTTGTCTTAGTGACATTGAGAACAATATTCCCCAGGGACCACTCACAAGGGAGCATGCCGAGTACCTGGCTGTGTTTGAAGAACAGCATTTGCAGCATAACCAGTGATGCATAAAGTGATGAGCTTTCTAACTCCTGGTCCTGGAAAGTCAGCCTGTTATTCAGACAACCTGTCCTGGTTCTTCAGGCCAAATAGGACACTCATGCTTTCAAAGGCTTTGCTCAGATGTGAAGGCATCTATTCATGATGTGTGAGGAGCACAATCCACTTGACTCGTG